CAAAGACGCGTGAGTACCTCCTCTGGAGACCACAAACATACCATGACCTGGCGCATAGCTGCCGCCCACAACCTGGCGGATGGCTACCAAATTGCCCATAGTCCGGTTTTAAGGACCACTCTACATACAGTACTAGTACTAACGATGAGTTCAAGAAGAGCGATTTCGCACATTTGTTAATAATTTGCTCTAATCCTCAATCCCCAGGACCCGGGTGATGGCTGCATTTATTTGTTTATCTCGCGAAAAAAAAATGTTGGTAGACCATCTCTTGGCTTACAATACTCGAGTACAAGCACGAGGCTGGCGTCAAAAATGGCAAGCAGAATCATATGTAACATCCCAAACCATGCTACTTCACGCCTTTCATTCAACCGATTCTGAAGCTGTGAAGAAAAATTTGAAAAATTGATAGTATAGCCAAAAGTTCCTTCAAATAATTCCGCAAGAGTCCACAGATCATTAAAAAGGAAAAGAAGGAAAAAACCATTCGCTACATTGGCATCCAATATTGTGAAGTTGAACTTTAGAAAAGCGTTAAGCCTGGTCATTTCCCATACAAAACCATGAGAAAATGCTCCAAGACAAATGTACCGACCATAGCTCTCTTGACAATTCTTTAGCCAGTTGAGATACAGAGTTCAAAGGGACTGGAAAGTGAAATCCACGGAGCTGCCTCCCCTATAAATGAAAACTCTCTGCGGATTACTTCATAGCATCAGTATCTCGAGTAATTGGAAGGTGGTAAACATGGCTACTTTGTCTCGCCCTTGTAGGTGACTGAATTCTACTCACTCGTCTCTACCAAGAATGCCTCCGCAAGCCGAAGATTTGGTGAGGACTCCCGCAAAATACCGCCTGGCGGAGGCATTCTTGGCGAAGACGCGTGAGTAGGAGTCGAGCCCCGGAGAGGCAGTTGGGAACCAATTCTTTTCTCGGGGGTCTGCAAACAGCTGCAAACTTACCGCTTTAAGGCTTTTTTTCTCTTTTTTTTTTTTTTTTTTTGGAAGCTTACGACAGCAGCATGTTTGCCTTAAAATTTCGCAAGCATGACACAACCAGACCAACTCCCACACTCACCCCCAAATAAACTCTCAAGCAGCCCGCACCCAACTCCCCAATCCAACCCCTCACTCCAAGGGCGTACTCGTGCCTCCGAGCCAAGAATTGGCATCCCGCCTGCCCATTCTATGGATCTGTAGTGGCTATTCCGAAAAGGGTGCCAATTCTTGGCGCGGAGACACGAGTATACACTCGCACCCCGCTATCCCGGATGGCCAAAATCCAAAGAATCTGTCCGGTACAGCGGGTGATCCGGGACAACAGGTCGGGTTTTGGTGTAAAAAAATTTAGAATTCACAGATATTCATACGGGACAGCGAGGTATCCGGATTATCGAGATCCGGGACAGCGGGGTGTGAGTGTATTGAGCCACAGCCCGCACTTGGACCACTACCTGATCTCCAAATCATTGTGCAATGTCTCCGTACATTGGCCACTCAAGCCGAGCGATTTGCAAACTTCCCTACATTCGATCAGGGGGCTCAAATATTGGTAGCCCTGCAGCATCTCCAGCAGGGAATGGCTGCCCTCCGGCAAGGACAGGCGGACCTCCAACAGAGAGTGGTGGAGCTCCAGCAAGGTCAGTTGGACCTCCAACAATGCCAGGCGGTCCTAGAGCACATTCAACGCCTTGAGGATGATTCTTCCCGCCGGTAAGTTTTCTATTCAAGTTTTTTTTGTTTATTATTAGTAAAATAACTGACAGCACTACTAATCTTAGGGACAAAAACAACATTGCCCGACTCATTAATAGTACCGTCAATCGCCCAACCATACCTCTAGAGCCGTTCTATGGTTTGAACGGTCAGATGGTTCCTGATTTCCCGAGATGTGGACCAGACATCAGGAGACTTAATGGTAAGTGTCCAAGTCTAAGTTTATATCAAGAGAGATCCTATCTAAACCAAGTGATAAAGGTGATGGAATTAATGCTCTCCTTTTGGCACTGGGTCTGGAGGTGAATGGGACGGTTGCCGCTCGCAAGGCACGCTTCAAAAGGTATATTGGGATAGTCATAAATATGGATTAATGTTCTCTTCTCGGCTCTCCTGTATGCATTTATCCTAGTAGCGGGAGATTTTATTATTTTTATAGGTTAGAGACATAGTCCCAGTGCCTTCATTCAGTCCGTAGATACTTACAACAAAATATATGCAAGGAAAGCAGTATTTGCGGTGAAATAGCTGAACAAAGTTAGTCTAAGTGAAACGGCGAAAGCGAGTTTTTAACCTCTGTCCTTGAACACTGTACTGTACGAGTGACGGAGTGTGATTGCATGTGCACGGTCAAATAGAATTAGCGCGCCAAGCATGCGGCTCCAATTTCAGGAACACGTTGACAGCTTTCCCTTTCACCCAAACTGAGAATCTGTCCACCTTCCGCGGCAAAAGGCTCCCCCTACTCTCAACGCTTTTTACATACATTATGGCACCTTCAATAACCTCAGAGAAGCTCACACTTTCATATCCACTGTTCGGGGCATCCTTTATCGATGTTGACCGCTTGCTTGTTGCTGGCGGCGGGGGTGAAGGGCACAGCGGTGTTGGCAACAAAATTGTTCGTTCTCTTCTCGACATATTGGCCCTAGGAGTGAAGCTAATTGGATATAGACGGTAGTAGATACCTCGACGAAGCCGGGAAAATCCATAACAGTGACGTCGGAAATCGAACTCAGCAAAGATGAAGACGCCGTCATGTCGCTCTCAGCTCTCAACACTTCGTCGGGGGTCAAAGCACTCGTCGGAATCAACTCTTCCCAACAAGCTAAGTTGAATGAGCATTTCCGGGTTTTTGATGTTCCGAAGGAAGGAGAGATCACCCTTGCTTCCAAACATGCGTTGTTCAGAAAGACGGATGCAGAAACATATCAGCGACTAGTGCGTGTCGACGGGGAGGGAAAGATGGCGGTTATAGCAAGTGGAAGTGGGTTGACGCCGACTTCAGCATCGGAGGTAGTAGTACTGGATGTTTCGTCTTTGAGTGTCAAACGACGGATACGGTTGCCTGGAAAGGAAGAGGTTGGGGATGTGGATATATCGAAGGGCGGGAAACAAGTGGTGTATTGCTCGCCAGGGGACATCTACATCGCATCTACGGAGAAAGAAGAGAAGAACCTAAAACCCATTGCCTTGAAATGGAAGAGCCTAGACAGGCCGAAGGGTAGCTTCCGGTCCGTTCGGTTTTCCAATAATGGTAGGCTGGTGGCGGTATACAATCTCTTCGGACGGTCAGGGGCTATCATACTACTCATCGACACTTCGGGAGAAATCATTTCGAGACGAAACGTACACAGCGGGGTAAAGGCGGTTACCAGCATGGACTCTTTAATACTTTCGCCAACCAGCACACTCATCGCCGTCGCCGGTGCAGACCAAAGCGTCCAACTATTCCTTGTCGGAGGTCCAATCAAGGCAATCAAGACTTTCAAAGGCGTGCACCCCTTTCAAATCACCAAACTTGCCTTCTCGTCTCTTCCATCCTCTGGCACCACTGTCAAACTAGCAACCACCTCGATGGGCAACACTATCGTCGTATTTTCTATTCCGGTATACGAAACTGACGGCAAATGGCAGCTCCGACAAATCTCTATGAAACTGACCGCTTTCCTGGTGTTGATCTCGTTGATCGGCGTGGCTGTTTTCGCTATTGCTCTACAACTAATGTTTAATGCACGAGCAGGCTTTGGGAAGGAGCAGGAGCGCACGGAGAAGTTGGAACATCTCGACAAGAAAAGCCCAGAAGCAGCAGAAGCACCCGGCGAGTGGATGCTCGGTGAAGCGCAGGAAATTGGTGCAGGCGTCATGTAAGGCATGCCCAGAGAAGCCGTTCAAGGTGTCATCAGATAATCAGCTAATCCGAAAACGCAGGTGTTTGAATAGTTTGTTGGCAGGAGCACATATGGCAGGCTTTGGGAAGGAGCAGGAGCGCACGGAGAAGTTGGAACATCTCGGCAAGAAAAGCCTAGAAGCAGCAGAAACACCCGGCGAGTGGATGCTCGGTGAAGCGCAGGAAATTGGTGCAGGCGCCATGTAAGGCATGCCCAGAGAAGCCGTTCAAGGTGTCATCGGATAATCAGCTAATCCGAAAACGCAGGTGTTTGAATAGTTTGTTGGCAGGAGCACACGTGGCTATGGGATGAAAATTATTTGTCTCTTTCTCCGTCTTCTATTCTTGTTTTATTTTTGTTCTTTCTCTTTACCTGTTTACCTGTTTGGTGATAGACGGCGGCAGTACCGTAATTGTATGTAGGATATTCTTTGTTTTGTGGGATCATGGCACACCGCTCAGTTCCTGCCCTTTCTTTAGTACAAATTTCATGATGCTGTACCGTACTGTTCATGTGGCTGACATGAGATATCCGCTGCAATAATGATAAGGTGGATTTGAATAAAAAGATGGCGGACGTTAGAAATGGCCGTAGTTCACAGTACTCTTGCTTTTAGTCACTAGTGATAATTTCTGATAGTGTGTCGAAAGGAAGTGTGAGAAGGGACCTTGGATATGCAAACAGAGATGACTTCATAATAGAACCTAGTGATTCCCCGCTTGTGTCTATCATTTGCACCTCCTGGTCTCTCAGCCAAAAAGTTCAATGCCCTCTTTCTTAATTGCTCTTTAGCCCTCAACCACCCCTCCCTCCCTCCCTCCCACCAAAAAAAAAAAATTAAAATCGCACGCCATGAAGAAAAGGAAAACGAGTGATACTAAATGACCGTTATGAGTAAAAAAAAAAAAAAAACGCAAAGCACTAGCGACAGACCTAAAATCCATCACAAGAAAATACCTCCGCATTACCCAGCCCTCTCCTCCGCGAGTTGTGCCCCTTCTTTACGGGTTGGAGAAGCCGCGGTTGAAAGCTTTTTTTTATCCAGACTTAACGCGGAACTTGGTATCATTAGCTTTATCCTTTTTTGAGCGGCAATGCAGCGAGGTACGGTACCCGACTGGCGCAATGGTAGCGCGTCAGTCTTCTAGTTTTCCGGTTTGGTTTGGGAGGAGTTAATCTGAAGGTTGTGGGTTCGACCCCCACGTTGGGTTGTGTAAAAAATTTTTCTTTCGCTTTTTGAGCGAGGAGGAGGAGGGAGGGTGGGGTTTTGGTTGGTGTGAGCTGGTGGAGTTGGTGGGATTGGTGGCTATCTAGCTGTTGGACTTTGGGGTGCAGCACTTTACCTCCTGGCCTGTGTCGCCCGCGATCTATATGGATAAATCCTCTGTACAGTACTTTCTACTCTCTAAATGTTTTTTTTCATGATGGCTAACTGCATATGCGGGTGGTAGAAAATGCTGGTTGTCGGTGTTGGACGGTCGGGGAATGACTGGATGTGCAAAATTTTACAGGATGAGGTTCAGTTGGTGTGCTCTCACGGTCTTGGATATGTTCGGTGGATGCATAGTAAGTAACTACCAAGTATTGGGAATGCTGGGGAGGGGTAAGTTTTTTTCTTGGTAAATGACGGCTGAATCATGCTCATTCCAGAGAATCATAGTCTTCCTACGAGGCTACGATTGAAGAGGATTGGGGTAATATAGGGCTATGGGTATCCGAGGAGGTATGGAGGACTCGGAAATAGATAGGGTAGGGTATGGGAAGGTGTAAAATACAATATCCCTTAACCTGTATTCAGGCACTCGTGCTAAGGTGGGAAGATAGCGTAGATTCGGAGAGTAACTAAAAAGGGTAACGTAGTTAGCAATGATGATAATCATGATGTAATATAGTAGCAGATGAATTTAGTCAACAGATAAGGAACTGCAGAGAGTGGGAGTTGGACATTATGAGCAATACAACAATGGATGATTTGAACAACAGATATGAGAGCGAGGAGGGGGAAGTTGAATTTTGTAGGAGAGGAAGAGGCCTTGGACAGATTGCTGCCACTGAGATCACCAACAATGAAGAAAATGCTGACCACAAAGATGATGAGGACAAATACCAAGAGCAGGAGGTTGGTGATGAGGTTGGTGAAGGTGATGAGATAGAGGGAGGAAGAGTGCAGAATAGGCAAGACCGGGTACAGATAAACTGTTTACCTCCAGTTCCAGCCTTTGAGCCATATGAGCACCCAAAACTACCACACAAAAGAACTCTGAGCCTTCCAATCGAGTTCTCCGGTTGGTTTGATGCTGTGTGGAATCCTGAGCTACATATCATGCAGTGTCCAATTGACTTCTTCATACTATTCTTTGATGAAGAAGTATTTGCCAATCTCGCAAGAAATACCAATGCATATGCAACAGTAAAAAGAGCTGGACAAGGGGGTTCTAGAAGGTGGCAGGCAGCACAGGGGGGAGAAATTATGATTTTTTTGGGCTTGATAATTTATATGGGCCTGTATCATACAAGTACAGTACCCAATTACTGGAGAAAGGATGGTCTTGCTCCACTTCATAGGTAAATATTGAGCAATATTTTTATTTTGTAGTAGTCTAATAAATCAAATAATAGAATATCTCAGTATATGAGCCAGGTGCGATATGAGAAGGGAAATCACTCTTTTTTGTATAATAACACTCGCTGAAGATTTATCTCAGGTGCGATTTGAACAGCTGAAACGATTTTTTCGTGTATAAACACCGGTTGAAAATTTACCATGTCGCCTCTGGTACCAAAAGATGGAGGTCCTGTCAAGTACCATGCAATGCTGTTTCCAGTACTATTGCATTCTAGCTACCAAAGTCTCAATTGATGAGATGATGATTCGATTTATTGGTCGATCTGTTCACACTATTAGACTTCCCAATAAGCCTATTCCTGAAGGGTACAAAGTGTTTGTCTTGTGTGAACATGGTTATACATTTTCCTTTATATATACCTCTAGAGTTGAGCAATTCTCTGGACAGGACTTACCTTATGAGGGTCCTGGAAATCTTTATTTAAGTCCTACATCTCAAGCAGTTCTACAGCTTGCCCTGGCATTACCCTATTAGAAATATAGGTTTACTCTCTTTTGTGATAATTATTTTAGTAATATACCTCTATTTCAAGTCAGTTTACTCTCTTTTGTGATAATTACTTTAGTAACATACCTCTATTCCAGGCTTTAAGGTACTACCAAATTGCCACATGTGGAACGGCACGACCCAATTCTGCTGAATACCCCCCTATTCTAAAAATCAACAAAAGGCACTCATATTTACTATGGGGTACAGTTTTAGGTGTCATACCTGAGGGCCATCAAGTATTGGCTGTGATTTGGCAAGATAAAATATTAGTAAGACTTCTTACTACTGCATATGATATGTGACCAGAACCAGAGAACTATACTCCCCATATGCATCATCATCCTTGGCGTAGCCACAACCGAGATGCATATCGTAATATGATTGACGAAGTCTGGGGCAAACTCAGAGTATGTGAGCTTGTACTACCAACCACAACAGTCAACTACAATATGCACATAGGAGAGGTAGATATAGCTGATCAGCGACGCAGCTGTTATTCCACACAATTGTGGGTAGTTCACAACTGGATGCCACTTTTCTTTTGGCTCTTAAACACTACAGTAATTAATTCTTTTCTTATTGCACAACAGCACATAGAAGGAGAACAGAATTCACTTTGGCAATTACATTCACAGTATTGTAAAAGACTAGCCTGGGATCTTGTTGAAACTGGGTATCAGCAATTACACCCGGGAGGTAGACAAGCACTACAGCTACAGATATCAGAGCCCCAGCGGCATGCTCCCAAAGGAAATAACTCTGTAAGTCATGCAATGGGTTATATTATGAAAGTCACCTGCCTACCTTCTATGAGGAAAGATCAAGTCACCTATACACTTTCCTGAACAAACACAGCATCCTGAACCAAAACAGTATTTGCAATGAATCCTGTATCTGGAATGAATACACCTTCCCGAATGCGACCCAAATACTGTCTCCTATGTCGCTTTCTCTCCAAGCTTCCTCCTGAAGCTCCATACTACTAGCAAAAGGCCCGTGAGACCTCGAGGGGGGGGGGGGTTGGTGTATTGAACTCGGTTGTTATGATTTAGGTTGTGCACTTGGTGAGTAGCAGTGCACCTGCCCTGTGAATAGCGATGCACCTGTGAATAGCTGTACATCCACCCTGCGAATAGCAGTGCACTCACTGTGCAAGTAGCTGCAGAATGTAAAAAACCTAACCCATAAAAATGCTAAGAAATCAACACAGGCTGGTAAAAAAATATATAAAGGATCCTTTTTGACTGTAGAATTTCGCTTTTTATCACCATTACACTATTTCCTTATTTCTTACACTCTTTACTATTAAAAGATCTACTCTCCATTTTTATTTCTTAGAATTTCGCTTTTTTTTTATCCACTATCCCTGAAACAATTCCTTTATCTTATTTGGTATTATTTTCACTCATTTTATCTATTGCTTTGATCTCATATTTCGCTTATTTTTATTAAAATTTCCAGTTATGGCTAGTTCTAGCACTTCTGCTATGGCCCTTGATCCTGTTACCCCTAGACCCCCTAGCACAACCCCATCTACCCCTGTTCAGATTACACAGACCTTTTCCCCAACCCAAGATACCCCTCCCAGTCCTACCAGAGGCCCCTCCCCTGCAGAGGTGGCTGAGAAGACTCCTGAGAAAGGGAGTGCCGCATTTTTTAGGGTTAGGTATATGAAAAGGGTTAGGGATGTGGAGTTAAGAGAGGGAAAGAGTGCTAAGGACTTAACATGGTCAAGAATAGCAAATCATGAGGCAGTTTTGGGGTACACCAGGGGTGTGGTGGAGGAGGGTATGTGCAAACAGTGTGAGCAGAGTGGAGGACCTTTTGCAGAGTGTGTTACTGTGCCTGGGGAATATACTAAGTCATGCACCAACTGCCACTACAATAGTAATGGTAAACAGTGTTCATTTCGTGCAGACAAAGGTAAGTGTATGCAAGTTCCTTTACATGACTATGCTAATATTTTACTCTGATTTGCAGGCAAAAGAAAACGTTCCCCTTCACTTGAAATCCTTGCAGACCCAGATGACGATTTTGCACCACCACGCACTAAGGTTGCACGCACCAGGAAGGGAGGAAGAGGTGCTGAGTTTGGAAAACATTGGGATAATATGATGACTGGAGTGGTTGGAGTGGCTAGCATTGTGAGAGATTTGATTATTGAGAAAGTTCTTTGATTGCATAGTATGCTTTTTTCTTTAATTTGCTGTTGTTGAAAGCTTTTTACTTTGCACTTTAATTTTTAACATTACACTTTTAATATTACTTAATAAAAGTTTTACATTCTAAGCATTTTTCATTTTATTTAAAAAAGATAAGTGTAAAGTGTTTCAAATATAATACATTTCATATTTAATAATAACACATAAATAGCCAATAATTCTATTATAAAAACATAGATGCAAAAGAATAATATTAAGGAAAAAGATATTAGAATGATTCAGAAGGTGTAAAATAGCGAAATTACATATATTTAAGAAAAGAAGTATTATAACTGTTATTGGGGTAGGCCAACCGTAGATAGGGCCGGTAGGTCTAGGCCGTAAGCTTCTTGAAATAAGGTAAAGTAGGATAAAACGAAGATCGTTAAGGTAGGCTCGTAATTCCCGAAGTATTTTATAAAGGATATGTGTAATAATAGTTTTTTCAAGAGTAAGGTAATAAATATATTAATAAGATCTCTTCTCCGTTGCTTGATGTTTCTGATAGCTGGGAGTACCTCGATATTTATATTCCGCGTCTGGGTTATCGCGGGCTACAACCAACTCCCATACTATCTAAGTACCTCCGTCAAAAACCTCTTAACTTTCTTAAGTGCGAACACCTTTGACCCTGAGAATATTTGCCTTGCTTAGCTTTGATCTCTTCAAACTCCTATTGTTTCTGGGGGGTGTGAACACCCCTCCAGTAGGTAGCCTTCGATCTCTCCACTATATGAACTTAATTTGAGTATGCCGCCCTAATGGCAACTATACCAATTGTTCTGCCTCAAAACATAAAGTGATCAGCTTTAATGAATGAGCGCGGCCATTGTGTCGCATATTGATGCATCACAAGGCCCATCGGATATATAGGGTTTTTTGCTCTGGATCGAG